CAGTTCTCCAAACTGATCAAAATTTCTGCTACCGGTTCTCCAGAACTGATCAGAACCTGCTGAAACCCACCTCTGCCTTGAACTGTTTAAGACTTCAACTCCCAGAATTCCCCAGCCAGCCATGGCAAGGTTGGGAAACCTATATATATATATACAGACTTTCTGCTGTTTCTGCTAACATGGTGTTTATGGAATTGTGGTTTTTTTGTTGTTTTTTTAACTGTTTTAATTTTGTCAGCTCTATTGTGACGCTGGGTGCTGGCAGCCCTTGAGGAGAGAACTGACCTGGCTGCCAATATTTCCATGCCACTGTGGGTGTAGCTCACTCAGTTTTGAGTCCCACTCCATCCTCCACCCCTTCTCTGCATTGACAAGCCTGGTCTGAAGATCAGCTTGGGTGAAAAGGCAAAAAAAAAAAAAAAAAAGCACACAACATCTTCACCAGTGGTGGGTTGCCCCCCCGAGGTGGGATTCAGCAGGTTCTGACCAGTTCTGACGAACCGGTAGTGGAAATTTTGAGTAGTTCGGAGAACCGGTACTAAAAATTCCCCGCCCCCATCTATTCTCTGCCTCACGAGTCCCAGTTGATCATGAGGAAATGGGGATTTTGCAGTGATCTTCCCCTGGAGTGGGATGGGAATGGAGATTTTACAATATCCTTCCCCTGGAGTGGAGTGGGAATGGAGTTTTTACGGTATCCTTCCTTTGTCATGCCCACCAAGCCACGCCCACCAAGCCATGCCACACCCACCAAGCCACACCCACAGAACCAGTAGTAACAATTTTTGAAACCCACCACTGATTGCCCCCGGTTCGGTCCGGTTCTTGCGAACCGGTAGTAAAACCCTGGGGAGGCTCCGCCCACCCACCCAGATGTCATCATAGATGATCTGCTCATGTGCAGAAGCTCAGCGCACGCACTTGCTTCGCGCGCGCGCACAGTCCCATTGCAAACCGGTAGTAAAGGTAAGTAGAACCCAGCCCTGCTCTTCACGACCGTGTCGTGTGCGTGGAGCAGCCGGATGGGTAGCTAAACGCAGTGGTCCAAGCACTGTCCATCTTCACCAAACCCTATGTTAGGAAGAGTGGTTTTGCCCCCTGAAAAGGCAAGAGGAGGGGGGGACAAGGGTGATTAGAACAGAACGGTGATATTGCCATGGAAGCAGAATTAAGGGTATCACTCAGAGCCATGGTGGCGCAGTGGTTAGAATGCAGTATTGCAAGGTAATTCTGCCCACAGCAAGCAGTTCGATCCTGACCAGCTCAAGGTTGACCCAAGCCTTCCTTCCTTCCTAATGATGATTATTGGGGCAATATTCTGACCACTTAGAGAGGGCTGTAAAAACACTATGTAGTGGTACAGGTAGTCCTGTATTCATTTAGTGACCATTCAAAGTTACAATGGCACTGAAAAAAAGGTACGGCCGTTTTTCACACTTCCGACCATTGCAGCCTCCCCACAGTCACGTGACCAAAATTCGGAAGCTCGGCATGTATTTATGACGGTTGCAGTGTCCCCGGGGTCGGTCATGCATGCGATCCCCTTTGGCGAAACTTCCGGCAAACAAAGTCAATTGGGAAAGCCAAATTCACTGAACAAGTTTGTCGCAAACTTAGCAACTGCAACGCTTCGACGTTAACGACGGCGGCAAGTCAGGTCATAACAACATCGGGCAAAATTCACTTAACCAATGTTTCACTTAGCAACAGAAATGCGGGGCTCAATGGTGGTCGTAACTCCAGGACTGCTTGTGTATAACTTTTAAGTGCTATGTGACCAGGCCATTCACAGAGTCTGAGCTGGCAGGACTGGGCTGCCCTGAGATTTTTTCTTTCTGATGAATGCAGCAGATCCTGCAGAATGTACGAAAGATGATGAGGTGGGGGAAGAAGAGACAAATCTAAGGGGATCCACTCTTGCTTTCTTTCCTTAACTTGTCTCAGGTTCAAAGAATAAGTGGGGAGGGATTTTTTTTTTTTAATTTGATTTATATGCCGCCCTTCTCCGGAGACTCAGGGCGGCTTACAATGCGTTAAGCAATAGCCTTCATCCTTTTGTATATTTTATACAAAGTCAGCTTATTGCCCCCACAAACTGGGTCCTCATTTCACCTACCTTTGAAAGGATGGAAGGCTGAGTCAACCCTGAGCCTGGTAAGATTCGAACCTGCAGTAATTGCAGGCAGCTGTGTTAATAACAGGGTGCTTTAAACCACTGTACTACCAAGGCTTTTGAGGAGGCAGCAAACCTCAAGCCAATTTACTTCTTTTTTTTGCAAGCCAAAGTTTTGCAGCAGCTGTTGGCATCAGGTGGGCACAGCAGAAAAAAAGAGATTCCCAGGATATGTTTCTATCCTGACGGAGGAAGAAAACCGGGGCCAGTTCCAGCAGAAAAAAAGAAGGGGATTGGGCATCTCCATCTCCCAAACAGCCAGCTCATTTATTCTCCTACATCCTCAGGGGATGGGGGGAAGGAAGCAAGGGGCACCTGGCAATCCAAATGTTTTAGATGGGCATTCTTAGGAAGGGGGAAGGGGGTTTTCCAAGCCAGGCAGGGGTTTCTCACGGGGGGGGGGATTGTTCCCACAAATTCAAAGTGTTGGCCATCACACGACCAACGTATGACCCTCACCCTTGAAACGCACTTCAAAAAGTGCGTTTAAGAGCCGAGGTGGCGCAGTGGTTAGAGTGCAGTACTGCAGCTACTTCAACTGACTGCTAGTTCAGCAGATCAGCGGAATCAAATCTCACCGGCTCAAGGTTGACTCAGCCTTCCATCCTTCCGAGGTGGGTAAAATGAGGACCCAGATTGTCGGGGGCAATATGCTATTCCGGCCATGAATGGCGTGAATGAGTTTTTAATGTTTTTAATTTGTCGATGTTTTTTTTATAATTATTTTTTTTAAAATGTATTGTGAGCCGCCCTGAGTCTTCGGAGAGGGGCGGCATAGAAATTTAATGAATTAAATTAAATTAAATTAAATTATTTAGTATACTGTCTTTGGTGTAAGCCGCCCAGAGTCCTCAGAGAGGGGCGGCATATAAATTTAATTAATTAAATTAAATTAAATTAAAAATTATTTAGTATACTGTCTTTGGTGTAAACCGCCCAGAGTCCTCGGAGAGTGGGCAGCATAGAAATATGACTAATAAAAATAAAATTAAAAAATAAATAAAAACAAGAGGCAACTTTGCTTACACCGCCAGCGGTGCCCACCATCCTGACTTTTTTGACCTCATTCCACAGAACATACCCACACCTTTGTGGCTGAGGTTGGAATATCATTTTAGCAGCAGTTTCTCAGCTAGGCCAGGGAAATGTGTGTGTGTGGGGGGGGGGTGCATCGGTTGTCAAACAGTCCCTTGCAGCCCTCTGGGTCCCTGGATGTCTCCAGGAGTGGGGAGTGGGTGGGAGGAGTACACCCACCTAATCCCCAGCCTGCCAAAAAAAGGGGGGCTGCTCCGCGGGGAGGGGGGGTGGAGAGAAGGTAGTGGTGGTGGTGGAGGAGGAGGAGAGGCAGGGATCTCCAAAGCTGTACAGGTAGGAACTCGGCTGCCGCAAAGGAATGTGGAAATTCAACTAAGGCGGGCAGGCAAGTGCACCGAGCCAGCTGGCGAGGGCGCGGGGAAAGGGAAGAGGGGAGCCAACGGCGCTCCAAGAGCCAGAGGCAAAAAAAAAAAAAAAAAAGAAAAAAAAAACCAACCAGGGGTTGCCCTCCGCAACGTCTTGGGGGGCCCCCCCTCAAGAGCCACCGCTCACCTCGGGGCGCCCTTCGGTCTTTGACCGGGGGCGCCCACCTTCCTTTCTCAAGCAGGGCGTCTACCTCCTCCCCTTCGCGGCTTCTGCAGGTTGATTCGTGGGAGCGGGGTGGGGGGACTCGCGTAGGGGACACCCCCCCCAGTTTCCCAAAGCAGCCCAGGAGCCTGGAACTAAGGCTGAACGGAGCACCGACTCTCCAGGGCGCACCTGCAAGCCGGGACGATCGGCTCCACGACCGGGACCGTCCCCCCACAACCCACCCACTCAAAAATACCGACGCCTTCCGTGGGTGCTAAGCAGTAAATGCCTCTCTCTCTCTCTTGGCTCCCCTTTTTGGGGGGGGTCCGATATGCGCCTGCTGCTGATTTCCAAGGGGGGGGCTTCCCCTTTCCTAGAAAGGGAGGAGTGGGCTCCGTTTGCAAATTCCCAAGCCGTTCCCGGAGCGCGTGGAAGAGCCGCCGCCGATTAGCCCGGCTTGCTCCGGCGGGGAAGCCGCGATTCCTTCCCCCCACCCCCAAACACACTCCTCCGCGCGTTTTCTTAGCCCTACCCTCTGGGCGCTCCGGCTACGGGATCGGAACCCGCTTGTCTTCCGAAGAAGAAGCAGAAGAAGAAGCAGCCCCTCGTGGCTGAGAGGCGACGGTCCCCGCGGCGCTCAGCAGCGCCCTTGCGCGAAAGCCCAGGCGTCTGGATCGCGCGCACAAAAACCTGCAGGGCTCGGAAGCAGCGCGTTGCAAAAGTCTCTGCTCTCTCTCTCTCTCTCTGTCCCCCCCCTTTTTCTTCCCCATCCAAAGCAAGTCCCCGCTGCTTCCAGAGGCAACGGAGCCTTTAGGATCCCGACCAAGAGTTAGGAAGCCGCGCAACACAGCCGCCCCGCCTTCCCCAGAATTGTTTTATTAAAGCCTTCTCTTTCGGAAGGTCGGTGGATCTCCTCCGCAGGCACATTTCGACTTCGATCCCCCCCCCCAAAAAAACCCCACCCTTCTCCCGTTTCCCCAGGGGGGGGATCGACCCTCCCTCTCCCACCAAACTCGGGAGAAACTCCAGGCAGTTCGCCTCTTTCCAAAGCCCCGCTTTCTTCCCCCACCACCCACCCACCACCTCAATTCATTCCCTTTCCTTTCCTCCCCATTAAAAAAAACAAATCCTGCCCCCCCCCCCCCCCCCAAAAAATAAAAATAAAGCGCCACGCGATCGGGGCTCGCGGGAGCCCCCCACCCCCCCGTTCAAAGGTACTCACCCTAATTTGACGTAGAGGACTCCGAAGCAGAGAAACACGTAGAAAATCCACTTGCGGGAGTTTCTGTGCATGTTCTAGGAAGACCGAGGGGGGTTGAGCCATATAAAAGGAAATCGCGCGCCGGGACTTGAGGGGGGGGGGCAGAGAAGCAAAGCCTCGGCCGATTAAATCCCAGGCAGGAGCCTCTGGGGAGCGGCTTCTCCGGCGGCGGCGGCGGACCCGAGTGGAAGCCCCGCCGCAGCCTTCAAGCAGCGCGGGTCCGTGCCAACCATACTGACCTCCCTTCCCCTCCCCTCACGAGCCAGGAGAAGCGCCCCCCCTCCCCTCCCCTCCCCAAAGTTCAGGGCAAAGGCGGCGGGGGCTGGAGGTTGAAAAGCCGGGGCTGCTGCTGCTTCTGCTGCTCGGTTGGGGAAAACGGCTCTGCAGGAAAACCGCACACCGCGCGTCTCTTTTGCGACCTGCAAAAAAAAAAAAAAAAAAAAAAAAGCCCCAGGTAAGGAAAGCTCGCGCGCGCGCGCGCGGCCCCCCCCCCCCCGCCTCGCGCGCTCCCGCCTCGCACCCCGCGCGCACCCTTCGCCCGCGGACACACCTCGCCTTGTTGGCTCGCTCCCTTTTTTCCCTGCTTTTGGGGCGGGGGTGGGTGGGGGGAAACTGCTCTCCCCCGGCCTCTCGGCTTCCCAGGCTTGAAGGGGCCACAGCTCAGAAGTTGAGGGGGGGGGGGGTTTGTGGGGGGGGGGAAGTTAACTCCCCCCCCCCTCAGGCCTTTGAGACTGTGCCAAACAATTTACATTGCAAGGGACCCTTCAGCAAAGAGAGAGCAGGCCCAAGAATTGGTTGGGGAAAAAAATAATATAATTTTATCTATTAATTCCATTTATAATGAGGACCCTGGTTTGTGGGAGCGATAAGCTGAATTTGTATAAAAAAGAACACCGCTTAGGCCCCCCCCCCCCCGAAAGCCCTACTAAGCAGGTATATACAAAAGTATGAAGGCTATTGCTTAAAAGCATTGTAAGCCACCCTGGGTCTCCGGAAAAAGGGCGGTATATAAATCGAACCAATAAATAAATAAATAAACAATAAATATAAACAGGAGCTACCCGTCTGGCAGAATAGACTAGAATAGAATTCTTTATTGGCCAAGTGTGATTAGACACACAAGGAATTTATCTTAGGTGCATATACTCTCGGGCTACATGAGGAGAATAAAATGCGTTCATCAAGAGTAAAAAGATAACGCTAAGTAATAGTCAAGGTTACTAATAAGTAATAGTCGAGGTTACTAATAAGCTATCGAATCGTACTAGGAAGCAAATGAAAACAATATAAATGGAAAGATATGAGCTACACACGGTTATAGTCATAAATAGGGAAGAGATTAGATACTAGTAAGGAAGAGAAGAATAATAGTATAATACTATTTATAATAGCATTTATAAACAAGAGCTACCCATCTGGCAGAATAGACTAGAATAGAATTCTTTATTGGCCAAGTGTGATTGGACACACAAGGAATTTATCTCAGGTGCATATGCTCTCGGGATACATGAGGAGAATAAAATGCGTTCATCGAGAGTAAAAAGATAACAATGCTGAGTGATAGTCGAGGTTACTAATAAACTATCAAATTGTACTAGGAAGCAAATGAAAACAATATAAATGGAAAGCCACACATGGTTATAGTCTTAAGTAGGGAAAAGATTAGATACTAGTAAGGAAGAGGAGAAGAATAGTAATACAGTCTTAGTGAATGATTTGAATTAAGGTTAGTTTATTTAATTAAATTTATTTGACCATAAAGTGACTCTGGAGCCCTTCATACAGCTCAAAGCCACAGAAACCAACTACAGTAAATAAGTAGAAAAGGAGCAACAACTGTGATTAAACAATTAAAACCATAAAAAATAATGCAGGGGAGGAGACTCTTTATATCTGCCCAAAGATAGTAGCTCCACCGAATTTCGGAAAATCATGCATAGCTTAGGCTGGCTTGTCTCTCACTCACTACTCATTCACTCACTCACTCACACACACACCAATAAACTTGATGGGGCTTGCTCATGAGTAAATGGCCAAAGGTTCAAGCATAATGCCAGGGGAATGGGTAGGAGTTGAAAAATGAATTGCATTTGTTTCTTAAGCAGCGTAGGTTTCTTTATTTATATATTTATAGAGAAATGCCTAGAAGAGAGACAACCCTGGCTGCTCTTTAGAAGGCCAGATCCTGAAGATGAAACTCAAATGCTTTGGCCACCTAATGAGAAGGAAGGACTCCCTGGAGAAGAGCCTAATGCTGGGAATGATGGAGGGCAAAAGAAGAAGGGGACGGCAGAGAACGAGGTGGCTGGATGGAGTCACTGAAGCAGTCGGCGTGAGCTTAAATGGACTCCAGAGGATGGTAGAGGACAGGAAGGCCTGGAGGAACATTGTCCATGGGGTCACGATGGCTCAGACACGACTTCGCAACTAACAACAACAACAAGAGAATTCCAGGAGATAAGTTCCATTTAACTAACCAGGATTTGTAGTTACAAATTGTGCTGTTATAAAGCACTTCCACATTTCCATATTTGTGTCCAAATTGCATCTTTGGGAGTGAAAGAACAGCACTCCCATGGTTTGCATAGCTATGGTTCAATAAGCCATAGGCTGGCCAAAAATAAGCCACAGATCATGGTTTAACAACCAAATGAATTGTAAGCTAGAGTCATAGTTTGGAAATCCAACTTTTCCAACAGCAACTTATTGTTCAACAAACCGTGATTTAGCATGATATTTATACTCAAACAATAAGCCAAAACCAAATAAATATCAGTGTGGTTTGCGGTAGCTAACAGACACTTAACTAAACCAACTTCCTTTTTTGGAGGCATGTGGGGAGAATTAGAAAGCATGCATGTACTGTAGAAGAGTATTTCCTCCCCCCACAACTGCTGAAGTAATATTGGTTCTAAAAAAGTTTTTCACAGCTTCTCCTGGTTAATCAAAGCCTTTTTTTTTTAATCATCCAAAAGGACTTTCCTGGAATATTGCAATTTGATAAATTAAAAGACCAAACATTGTGAGTCCTAATTATTATTCTAACCAAATAATAGCAGTGCAGTGCCGCAACTTAGAATTATGAGATTGCAATCCCAGTTTCCCACTAGTCAGTTCTGAACTATGAAATGAATTATTGTGGTGCATATATGTGGGGAAGACGCACCTGCGGGAGGGCAAAAAAAAAAATCAAGATGGCGGCTACACCCATGTGATCAAAGAGGCCACTCTTTTTTTCATAAGCCCAGTGATACACATTGAAAGAGATAGGGTTTCGACCCCATGGGGCCAGCTCAGGGGTGGGGCTGCTGGGGGTTCGCAGGGGTTCGGTAGAACCTCTAGCTAAGATTCTGTGCAGTTTGGAGAACCCCCAAATCCCACTCCTCGCTGGCCCCACCCACCCCACCCCACCCCTCACAGGAGTCCCCACATGGCCCGTTTTGGATTCAGGTAAGTGCAGGGTGCATGCAGAGGCTCGGGGAGGACGAAAAACAGGCCTACCGGAAGTTTGGGAAGGCTAGAAATGGTGCCGTTTCCACCCTCCAGAGGGCCTCCGGAGCCTGGGGAGGCTGTTTTCGCCCTCCTGGAAGTTTGAGGAAAGCCTCTGGAGCCCGGGGAGGGCAAAAACACCGCCCCACCCCCCGCTGTGGTGCAGAAGGCCAACTAGACCACGCCCACCATGGCCACACCCACCCAGCCACCGGGCAGAGAACTCCTTGCTAAAATATTTCAAACCCACCCCTGGGTCTCCTGCTATTTGGACTTTGGAAACTTCTTTATGGATGTGTCTACTGGTCCACCTACTAACCGTTTTGTTCTTCTAGTACAGGTAATCCTCGACTTACGACCACAGCGGAGACATTATTATAAGTGAGACATTTGTTAAGTGAGTTTTGCCTCATTTTACGATCTTTCCTGCCCACCGCTGCTAAGTGAATCACTGCCGTTGATAAGTTGGTAACCCGGTTGTTAAGTGAATCTGGTTTCCTCGTTGTTTTTGCTTGTCAGAAGGTCGCAAAAGGGGATTGCGTGACCTTGGGACACAGCAACGGTCATAAGTATGAGCCAGTTTGCCAAGCATCTGAACTCTGATCGCACAATCATGGGGATGCTGAAAAACTGTGAAAAACAGTCATAAGTCACATTTTTCAGGGCTGTTGTAACTTTAAACGGTCACTAAAGGAACTGTTGAAAGTCAAGGACTTCCTGTATTATAATTATATACACAACAACGTGAAGTCCATGCCATTTCTTTATCTGGTGTTAGCCTCCATATGCATTGAGTTCTTCCCAAGAATCTAGGATGCCATAATATATTGGTATTGTGGCCTTTTGCAATTGGCACCTGGACATTTTGTCAATGCAAAGATTTTCTAAGGGCTGTCCAAGATTTTTTTTTAGTATGGTACCCAGTGTACCTTATAACCTTTGGGGCCATTTTGGCTAGTTTATGTTACAATCTTTCAACTTCAGTGTTCAATTCTTGATACTTTGTGATCTTCATCAAATGTTGTATCTTATGATTCATGATGAACGTATTTATGATGACTAGGATCATGATTTATCACTTACATCTTTTATGTACACTGAAAGCATATGCACCAAAGGCAAATTCCTTGTGTGTCCAATCACACTTGGCCAATAAACAAGTCTATTCTATTCTATTCTATTCTATTCTATTCTATTCTATTCTATTCTATCCTATCCTATCCTATCCTATCCTATCCTATCCTATCCTATCCTATCCTATCCTATCCTACCCTACCCTACCCTACCCTACCCTACCCTATTCTATTCCATGTTTTCTAGTCTAGTCTAGTCTGTTTCTATTCTATTCTATTCTATTCTACCCTACCCTACCCTACCCTACCCTACCCTATTCTATTCCATGTTTTCTAGTCTAGTCTAGTCTGTTTCTATTATATTCTACCCTACCCTACCCTACCCTACCCTACCCTACCCTTTTCTATTCCATGTTTTCTAGTCTAGTCTAGTCTAGTTTTTCTATTCTACCCTACCCTACCCTACCCTACCCTATTCTATTCTATTCTACCCTACCTACCCCATTCTATTCCATGTTTTCTATTCTATTCTATTCTATTCTATCCTACCCTACCCTACCCTACCCTACCCTACGCTACTCTACTCTACTCTACTCTACTCTACTCTACTCTACTCTACTCTGGTACTGCCACATCAAATATCCGCACTTTCATCTTTTCAACCACAGTTAAATCTGACTTGTCATGTATTCAGAAATCCCACAATATTTTAACCTGCTCGTTTTCGACTACTTTTTCAACTGTACAGTATGTTCCCGCCTATTTTTCATTACTGGCACATGGTCATTATTGTTACAGATGTTCCAGTGAATCATTTGGTGGGGGGGGGGACTGTGTTA